GCCACCACCCAGCTACCCCCTACATTTTTATTTTGAAGCTTTCCAACCCTCCAGGATTCCTCACTCAGCAAACACACAGACCTGCTACCCAGCAACTGATAAGAGACCATACCATTTTTTCCTTACTATGTTATTATTCATTTCTGTAGTGTGTGTGTGTGTGTGTGTGTGTGTGTGTGTGTGTGTGTGTGTGTACATGCTCACATGCTATATGTATATATGTCTTGGGATTTGGGATGATACCTGTGTGTGTGCATGCAGAGGCCAGGGGAGGTATCATGTGTCTTCCTCTAGTGCTCCTTATCTTAGACCTTTGAAATGAAGCAGAGTCTCTCACTGACCCGGGAACTAGGCTGGTGGCGGGAAGCCTGGTGATTGTACTGTCTCTTCTCCTCGCAGCACTCAGGTTACAGGCATATGTGATTCCCCATTTTTTTATGTGGATGCTGAAGAAGAAGTCCTCATGCTAATGAAATGGCATCTTACCCACTGAACTGTCTCTCCAGCCCCCGTTGTCCATTCTTGGATAATCATTGTTGTTGTTTTACCTTCAGTTATCCCAGACTTAACCCACAGGAGCCCACCCGTGTGAGCTCTTTGCCTCCTGGCCCAGGGAACCATAACCAGCAGTGGAGTATAATAGTCCCGAGGTCCTTCCTGCCACATGAGCCCAGAAATAACCATCTATTACCTAGCTCCAGGTTAAGTGAGAGACTCTGCTTCATTTCAAAGGACTAAGATAGGGAGTGCTAGAGGAAGACACATGATGCCTCCCCTGGCCTCTGCATGCACACACACAGGTGTCACCTGACCCCCAAGACATAAGGATCAACAGGACTAGGAAAAGGAGAACAGGCAAAGAGTGGCAGAACAGAAGGGAACATGGGGCAGACAGCACAGCGTCTCTAAGGACTCTCCCCAAGGACAGAGCTAGCTGCCTGAATGTGCAGTTCAGGCCCAAGGCACCAGCTTGCTTGGGCAGCCCCTCCCCCGCTTTCATATCTTTCCATTGACTTCCTGAACACAGAAAGAAATTAATCACAGAGCAAGGACAAAGAGAAGCTTCATTCTTTTGCGGCTTCCCTGAGGAAAGAAAAAAGTTGAAAGCAAGCCCAATTTTCTAAGGAAAACATATATGATTTCCTGCAACAATGTTGGAGAGTGAAGGGGGGTATTATGTGTTATGTCTGTGAGTGTGGGGTATGAAAGTATGAGAAACAGCATTACAAGTGTGTGAATGTGTGTGTGAACATGTGCAGGTGTGTGAGTAGATGTCTGTCTGTCCCAGGTTCTCCATCTGGGTGGTCCTAGAGGAAAATGTGTAAATGAAGAACACAGTATAGTAAGTTTGAGCAGATGTATGTTCAGCACTTCAGCTGAGATCTAGAACCTTCCACCTTTTCCAGAAACCTCTCTTAGGCCCTTACCAGCCAATTTCCACAAGACAACCATCTCCTGGCATCCAGAAGCCCCAGACCTCCAGTATATGCTCTTGGGAGGACATAACCTGCCCTCTTACCTAATAGTGGCAGTCAGCCCACAGTGTGTGTTGCCCTGGGCATATCTTCCCAGGGAGAAGGAAGGAGGCTATGGCCTCCTCCATACCCTGCTCCCAGGCTGCCGGCTGAGAAGAGGATCCAGCCCAGGCTCAAGTGCTATCTAGGGGAATGATCTGCCAGGGCTCAGAAACCCCAACATCCTTGGCAGGAACTGTCTAGCCAGGAGTGACAGTCTGGGTTCAGGCAGGCCCCAAGCCCTTGACTGGGAGGACCCCGGGGACTACAGCGCTGTCCACTTGCAGCTAAAGCAGAACAGCATCGGTCTTCATGCTGAACCTTGCTGTCAATCTGCTTGCCGCCCTGGGTTGTTTACTGGAAACTGGCCTCCCTGCAAGGGTTCAAAGCCCTGGCCCTGGGCATGTCTGCGGCAGGAAGCAAGCCAGGCAGTAATTGGCAGTCTGGTCGAGCTAAGTGGCCAGCGCTGACCCACCATCCTCCTCCAGCAGTTGCCTTTGAGTGATTTCACACTAGCCTTCCAAGCCTGTAGGGACTTCCTGCCCAGTGCAGAGCCAGCATCAGGAACAAATTACTCATTCCCCGAGAAATCTATTAAAAGGTGACAGCAGTTTGGGGGCAGGTGGCCCCCAGCACATGAAGCCTAATGCCTTCCATCCCTAAGGGCCACAAGTCATCTCCCCTAAACTGATCAGCTCAGAGGACACTGAGCTAAGTCTCTAACTTTTGGGCCCAAAATGACTCAGAGCTGAGCAGACTGCTGTCCTTGGGGCCTATCTGTGGATCGGCAAAGGGGAAGGACACAGGACCTTTGTTCTCTCCCTTGGTTCCATTTTCCATGCCACTGTGTGTGGCTTCAGGTGAGCCACCTAGCCTCTCTAAGTCCACAAGCTTCTTGAGGAAATAAGATGCCCCAGGCCTAAGCTGACACAAGGCAAGTTCATGTGCACAGCCAGGCACATAGCAGACTCTCTGCAGGTCATAATGCCTTGTATTCATTTTCTTTTCTGGCTGAGAGGGAACAACCTACTGTGCTCACATCCTAATCAAGGGCATGACCTAGAACCAAGGTGGGGCTCCAGCTGGAGGTATGGGGGGAGCAGGCCATGGCAGCTTCTAGTTCTCCACAGAACAAGTTCCTGCCATTTGCAGCCCATCTTGGTCTGAGCCAGACACTACTGGGTGCATTAACAAGAAAGTTGGGATTGGACATCTCCACTGTTTACATGCAGCCAGATGAATAACGATGCCCTGAGATGATGTGTTAGCTACTTTCATCCTTGCTGTATGTAGTAAGGCAGTCAAGGGCTATTTTGGCCCCAAGTTTGAGGAGATACAGTCCACCTTGGTGCAGGGAGAGCATGGCAGCAAGAAATTATGAGGCAGCTGGTCACGTATAGTCATGGTCAGGGAGCAGAGAAATAAATGCTCAGCTCAGTTTCTCCTTTTTATACAATCCTGGACTCCAGTCAGTGGGATGGTGCTGCCCACACCAGTCAACCCAGTTGAGAAAATCCCTCCCAGACAGAACCAGAGATTTGTTTCCATGGTGAGTCTAGGGCCCAACAAGTTGACCATCAAGATTAACTACCCCAATGAGCTTCTATAAATTGTGTAGGTGTAAACTGATGGCCTTGAAAAGATTAGTAAAAGAACCAGTGAAATGGTACAGCTGGTAAAGGGGTGTGTTATGCCATCCTGGCAACTTGAGTTCAATTCCTGGACCCATACAAAGATTGGAGTAGAGAACTGACTCCACCAAGTTATCCTGACCTCTACACTTGAGCCATGGCAATATGCCCCCCTCTTCAAATCATGCATATATACATGCAATAATAATAATAATTTAAATGTGATTAATACGGAGTATTTGGGAGGACCCGGTGTAATCATAGTAGTTCTTAGAAGCAGAGTCAGAAGGCAGAAGAAGCAGAATTAAAAATGTTCGACAGAGGCTGGGCATGGTGGTGCACTCCTTTAATCCCAGCACTCAGAAGGCAGAGGCAGGCAGATCTCTGAGTTTGAGGCCAGCCTGGTCTACAGATCAAGTTCCCGGACAGCCAGGACTACACAGAGAAAACCTGTCTCAACCCCCACCACTCCCCAAAAAGAAAATGTGAGTGGCTCTGGGAGTGACTTTGCCTGCCTTGCTGGTAGGGGACCATAAAAAGCCTGAGGAGGAATTAGGCCTTGTTGAAAATAAGGCCTAACTTCTGGCTACAAGTAGCAGGGGTCCTTGGTTCCACTACCTTGGAGACAGAACTTGGCCAACAGTCTGAATGTACTTATAGGTAGATACTCTAGGTTCCTAGGAAAGGCAGGCAGCACCCAGAGCAAAGGACACAGCAGAGTCGTGCTGGGCTCCTGTCTACAGACCTCAAGGTCATCATGTCCATGTCATAGTAACTCCTCATGGAAGAGAGACTAGAGGCAGCAAAGGGCCAGCGGCTTCCCCAGGACCCACCTCTACCTGTCAGGGTGTCAACCTCAGCATCATTTCTCCCGGGCCATGGCCAAGCCCAACAATGACGTGGCAGCTGGCTTCCATGCTTGGGACACTATAGCTCCTAACATCCTGCTCTCCATATTGTGTTTTTAAAAATAATTTTATCACACTTATTTATTTACTTATGTATTGTGTGTGTATTTGCACATACCCACATATGGAAATTAGAGAAAAATTTTCAGGCATCTATTCTCTTTTCCCACTATGTAGGACTCAGAGATGGAACTCGGGTTACCAGGCAGCAAACACCTTACCCACTGAGCCTCCATGTTCTGCTTTGCTCAACTGACAGCACTCTACTCAGAGGTCCAGAAATTCTCTAAGCCTGGCCATTTCCCTGGGATCGGCACAAAGCAGTATCCACGTAAGTCCTCAGCATCTGTGGAGTGGGATCCTGAGAGTGGGTGACAGTAGGTAGAGCAGGGTGCTCATTACTTGATGGTTGTTTCAGGTAGAGCTTCTTCTTTTTTTTTTTTTTTTTTTTTTTTTTT